TAATAGTACAAAATTTTTATATTATAAATATATTAAACTCTAATAATTTTTTAATATTAAATCTTTTGCAATACTATTTTAACATTATATTTAATATTAAATTTATATTAAATAATTTTTAATACTAATTTAGTATAGAAATAAACTTTCTGATGAAATACTATTAGGAAGTTATAACCAATATTAATATAATATTAAATATTTTAACAAAAAAATCTTGAAATCAATGCTTTCTAAGTTGAGTTAACATTAACCTTAATAATACTAAATTAACATTACTAGAAGTGATAAAATATCAAGAATTTAAATTTAATCCTCATAATAAATTTATATTACTATTAATAATAAAATAGCATGAATTTAATTTTAATACTGAATTATCATTATTGTAGATAACAAAATAGCAGGGATTTAAATGACAAAATAATGATAATTTGATTTAATACTGAATTAGCATTATTATAGGTAATAAAATAGCAAGAATTTAAATAATAAAATAGTAAGGATTTAATTTCAGTATTGAATTAGTATTACTATAAATGACAAAATAATAAAATTTTAAATATATAATGCATTAATAATTGTAAATAAAGTGCTGCATAATGTAATATGAATTTTTATTAATAAACATTGATATGTACATTAAATTTACTATATATTAAGCGAAATGATTAAATTTTGCATAATAAATATTTAATACATATATGTTGTACCTCATAATGACGTGAGTCTTAACTGACAGCCGACACACCTCAGATATTGATCGTCAGATAAGGTGCCTCAGATAATCAATCAATATCTGAAGTGCATTGACTGTCATCTGATGTATTCTCTCCCTCTTTAACTTTTATATTATCGCTATCATTATTGTTATCAACTTTTAAGTGATGATATTAACTTTGTAAATGATAATTTGAGTTTATACCGATTTTCGTCATATACTTTGTGGCTTCGTTGCCTATATATTGGCTACCAAATGTTCTTTTTCATACCTTTGTTTCTATAATGGCCCAGTGCATTGCCCACATTCATTGCTCATACATTCATTTTTGTGCATTCATTTCCTGTACATCTGTTTGTTGCCATTGCCCATACATTTATTACCAATACTTTCATAGGCTACATTTATTGCTCATACATTTGTTGCCATACGTTTATTACCAATATGCTCATAGTCTATATGTTCATTGTCCATACATTTGTTGCCCATACATTATTGCCTATAAACTTCTTACCTGGACATTAATCACCATCTATTCTTTAGAAAATTTCAAGTGGTATTATTCTATTTGAATCTGAATAACATTTTTTTTTCATATTTATTATGAAGTATACCTTTATAAGTAAAGAAACCTTTGATAATATTATTGACCAATACTTAATGAGTTTACCTGAAAAAAAGCAAGATAAAGCATTGGTAAATGTGGAACTTCTTAATAAAATCAAGTTAATTCTACAAAATTCCACAAATGCAAATATTAGTGATTGTAATACATGAGATTGGGCAAAAAGAAGGTTTCGCTTAGAGGAAATAACCCCTAATGATTTTAGGGTTATAGTAAAAAAGAACAATAACCCAGTTTTAACTATTGAAAATATGTATGAAATACTCTGCTGAACTCATGCTGAAATTGATCAACATGGCAGACAGAAACAATTGTGGAAGTCGATTAGAGAACAATGGGGATGGATTAGGCAAAGTATAATTGAACAGTTTGTCAATAACTGCATAGTATGCGCTACAAGAAAGCCATCCTTTTACCTATTGGTAGCAAAACCAATCATAGCCAAAAATTTTTTATCACATCTACTTGTAAGCTAATTTTACAGTATATTTGATTACTTTATTTTATTTATTTATTTAGTTATTTTTTTTTAATATATTATTTCATAAGATTGATTTAATTAACCTATCATTTGATGCGATGAAGATTATAAATACATCTGTCATGTTAGAGATTATTTTAGCCATTTTTCTTGGGCTAAACCACTTATATCTAAAAGAGCTGTTGAAGTTGCAGTATATTTATTTGATTTATTCCATAGCTTGGGTTCTTCTCCGACTATTCTACAATCAGACAATGGCAAAGAGTTCTGTGCTTTAGTAATCAAGAAGCTTATGCAAATGTGGCCAACTGTCAAAATTATAAATGGAAGACCACAGCACTCTCAATCGCAAGGCTTAGTTGAACGTGCCAATGGAATCCTTCAACAAAAACTTGGGAAATGGAAGGAATATACTGGATATACTGATTGGTCTTTTGGACTTCACTTTGTTGTCTCTTCTATGAACAATAGTTTTTGTCACTCACATAAAAAAATGCCATATGAATTGGTGTATAGTAGTAAGTCTTAAAATAATTGTACATTAGTTAGTGAATTATTTTCAAAAAATATACTTGATGAAGAAAATATTCCAAACACAATTGAAATACAAGATATTACTGATAATACAAACCTGGATAATGATTTGAAGAGTATGTATATTAAATATAATTTAAAATACATATTATAATTTTATACAGTATTTTAATATAATTTTATTAACATATATTATAGATGATGAAAATTTCCTAAATAATACTTCACTAAACCGATCCTCCAATGCTATTACTATTCTACTTGTTGATTTCAATGCTATCGCTCTTCCACCTGTTGATTCTAATATTGACATCACTCTTTCGCCTGTTGATTCTAATACTAGCATTACTCTTTAGCCTATTGATTCTAATGCTGTTATCACTCTTTCACCTGTTGATTCCAATGCTGTCACTGCTCTTCCACCTGCTGATTCCAATGTAGTTATTACTCTACTTGTTGATATTACTGAACATGAAATTTTATGTCAATCAGCTCGTAAAAATCTAGAAGAATATGGTGAAAAAATGGCAAACCAGATGTCTAAAGGCAAAAAGCGAGTATTAGAATATGTAGTCGGTAATTTGGTAAGAGTTGCAATTCCCAAAATTGATCGGTTTAGCATTGACAGACCAACTTTACCATGTAAAATACTAGCTAAAACCGAAAAGATCATTATCAATTGGGTTCAAAATTTGGAATTATTGCCGTTTATTATTGTGCTGGTGAACTTGAACCTTTGGGTGTTAATGATTTTCCTGAACTTAATAATATACCATCTAACAAAATATCAATTAGGGAAGCAGCACAACTTCAAAATGCAGGTCCATCCTCTGCAATTTGTTATTGCAAAAGTGAATATAATTCTAAGAAGTGTCATTGTAAAAAAAATAATGATAAATATAGTAGTTGATGCCATAGTGGACGGTTATGTCAAAATAAAACTTAATGTTATATGTATTTTATAATTTATAAATAAAGTTTTTTTTTATTATTTTTAATAATAAAAATAAATCAAAAAATAAAATAATTTTATATATTTGTATATTTTAATAATTGCATTATATAACAGTTAACGCACCTCAGATATCGATTGATTATCTGAGGCACCTTACCTGATGATTGATATCTGAGGTGTGTCAGTTGTCAGTCGAGGCTCACGTCATTATGAGGCACAACATATACGTAGAATCTACAAGAGAAAGTGTTAGTTAATAGTATTAGGCCTGGAATATGTGATCTATGAGTTACTGATTTCATCATAAGATCTTTGTCATATGATCATCAGTTTATAATTCTGCCCCAGCTGTGAAGATTTCACTGAGTTTGGGATACCCATGCTTATAATGATTATAATGCATATCTTGCATATATTGATTATAATCATTATAATTACTATATGCAATATACACGCTATCATCATTATAAACACAATAATGGATATCGACACCCTAGCAATAGATAGAATTTTGCTTATAAATAACATGTAATTTCATCCTAGTAATAGGGTGGATTTAGATAGAATTAATAAATAAAAGAATAATAAAGTGATAACAATTATGAATATAAATAAAATACCTGACCCTAATAAAAGTGCAAGTATTGTTTTATAAGACCCAGTAACTATCATTAAATCCTGTTCTTAACAGAACCCATCTGCCAAAGATATCTGAAAATCTGTAATTGATCACTCGCCATAGTCACATGTCCAGTAAACTGAACTGAAAGAGAAGAGTCTTGACCCTGATTCGACATAGTAAAGTCCTAGTTAAGACAATAAAGAAAATAAGGCAGTAGTTAGAAAAAGAGTAAGTTGAAGAAAAGATTCAAGAAAAGAGACTAGTACTTATTTATGAATGATAATCCACTTGCCAAATCTATATGCCATTTTTCAACTGAAAGCCGTCTGAACATTACACAAAGTCAACCTTTTGTTAGCGACAGACTCACCGATTTAGGGCATCTCAATAGTAAAAAAATACAGAAAAAAAAGATGAAAATTACTTATCTAAAACCAAATATTCACAATTCCAAGCAAATAAAGCTACCTGCTACAAAAAATAAAAACATTGACTTTACTAATTATCCAAATACCAAATCCCTATAAGTCAAAGAAACTAAAGCTTGCAAGAGAAAGAATATTAGTTTACAACAAAAATAAAGGCAAATCACAAAAAAAAAAACTATTTACTGTATCTAAATACCGAAATCTGCTTAATTCTAAGTCGAAAAAGCTAAACATTCATGAAAAAATATTAGTTTACAATAAAAAAAAAAAGATCAACCACAAAGAAAGCTACTACTTATCTAAATACCAAATTCTGCTTAATTCCAAATCATTGAAGTGAAATCCTACTAGAAACAAAAAAATATTAGTCTACTTTAAAAAAAAACCAAAAGTCAAAAAGAAAGCCAGTACTTATCTAAATATTGAATTCCACTCTATTCCAAGTTGAAGAAGTAAAATCCTACAAGAAACAAAAAAATATTAGTCCACTTTAAAAAAAAAAAAAGCAAAAGTCGAAAAGAAAGCCAGTACTTATCTAAATACTGTATATATTCAATTCCAAGTCGAAAGTTGAAAAGAAAGCCAGTACTTATCTAAATACTGGATCATATTCGATTCCAAGTCAAATAAGCAAAATCCTACAAGAAACAAAAAATATTAGTCTACTTTAAAAAAAAAAAAAAAAGCAAAAGTCAAAAAGAAAGCTAGTACTTATCTAAATACTGGATACATTCGATTCTAAGTTGAATAAGCGAAATTCTACAAAAAACAAAAAAATATTAGTCCACTTTAAAAAAAAAAAAAAGCAAAAGTCGAAAAGAAAGCTAGTACTTATCTAAATACTGTATACATTCAATTCCAAGTCAAAAGTTGAAAAGAAAGCCAGTACTTATCTAAATACTGGATCATATTCGATTTCAAGTCAAATAAGCAAAATCCTACAAGAAACAAAAAATATTAGTCTACTTTAAAAAAAAAAAAAAAGCAAAAGTCAAAAAGAAAGCTAGTACTTATCTAAATACTGGATACATTCGATTCTAAGTTGAATAAGCGAAATTTTACAAAAAACAAAAAAATATTAGTCCACTTTAAAAAAAAAAAAAAGCAAAAGTCGAAAAGAAACCTAGTACTTATCTAAATACTGGATTACATTCAATTCCAAGTCGAATAAGCGAAATCTTACAAGAAACAAAAAATATTAGTCCATTTTTTAAAAAAAAAAGCAAAAGTCGAAAAAAAGCCAGTATTTATCTAATACTAGATATGTTCAATTCCAAGTCAAATAAGCAAAATTCTACAAGAAACAGAAAATATTAGTCCACTTTAAAAAAAAAAAAAGCAAAAGTTGAAAAGAAAGCCAGTACTTATCTAAATATTGGATCATATTCGATTTCAAGTCGAATAAGTGAAATCCTACAAGAAACAGAAAATATTAGTCCACTTTAAAAAGAAAAAAAGCAAAAGTCAAAAAGAAAGCCAGTACTTATCTAAATACTAGATACATTCGATTCCAAGTCAAATAAGCGAAATCCTACAAGAAACAAAAAAATATTAGTCCATTTTAAAAAAAAAAAAAGCAAAAGTCAAAAAGAAAGCCAGTACTTATCTAAATACTAGATACATTCGATTCCAAGTCGAATAAGTGAAATCCTACAAGAAACAGAAAATATTAGTCCACTTTAAAAAGAAAAAAAGCAAAAGTCAAAAAGAAAGCCAGTACTTATCTAAATACTGGATCACATTCGATTCCAAGTTGAATAAGCAAAATCCTACAAGAAACAGAAAATATTAGTCTACTTTAAAAAAAAAAGCCAAAGTCGAAAAGAAAGCCAGTACTTATCTAAATACTAGATCACGTTCGATTCAAAGTCAAAGAAGTGAAACCTACAAGAAATAAAAATATTAGTCCACATTAAAAAAAAAAAAGAAAATTCGAGAAGAAAGCCAGTACTTATCTAAATACTGGATTACATTCGATTCTAAGTCGAATAAGCGAAATTCTACAAGAAACAGAAAATATTAGTCCACATTAAAAAAAAAAGAAAAGTCAAGAAGAAAAGCAATGCTTACCTAAATACCAGATCACATTTGATCCCAAGTTAAAGCTAACTCTATAGTAAGAATATAGCATGAGATATATACTAAGATTTTCTATTTTGTATCTATTTGTTTTTGCAGTTTTCTAATATTTATTAAAGTGTTAACATTGAGACAGCTCAAATCAAAAAAAAGTTATTTGAATTTTGATTTGATCTATATGTATTTAAATAGTTTATCATATAACATGTGATAGAACTGTGATCTTAATTTCAATCAACTTTTAAATGATTTTTTGCATTCGATGTTAATTAAAAAACCTGAAATGGCTATAGCACAGAACAAATAATATGCCTTTTTAAAAAAACTAACTGTTCAGCTAAATTTTGAATGCCATGTAATGCAAAATGAAAAATTAACATTGTATAGCTCGAAGTAGCTTAATTATTGCCATAACAATAAAATTAAATATTGGCATTTGGTCACAAAATTCATGCAAACCTATTTCAAACTAACGAAGTTATATGTAGGCATTAATAAATTAGTATATATTTATACATGTCTATAGTGTTAGTTATGCTGTTAAATTCCATCTATATAGATCACTTAAAGTTTAATTAATATTTAGTCATACTTATAGCATTAGTCATGCTGTTAAATTCTATAACCTAATGCTTCAATTGATCAAAGTCATAATTCATAAGTTAATATTGAAGAAATTTCTAAACAGTTACATATTCAACTATTTAATTGGTTTTCTGTTTTTTAGTTTCATAGTATAATAAGGATTTAATCCAGTACTAGTTTGTTAAAATAAATTATTGCAATAGAATAGATTGTATATATATACAAAGTAAATATATATATCAATGCGTATTAATTATATAAGAATATTACATCTAGATTTATACAATCAATCAATTTGCTATATATAATATTATAATAAAATAGTAAAGTAAATTTATTCATTCTCCTCTAAATAATTAGCATCAGATTTATATGCTTCTAATTCATTTGATTCCATTCCTTGAAGGGCAGAATTCATTTTCTGAATAATATAATCTTGTTGTAATTTATATCCAGAATATTCTATATTGCAAATAACATCAATACAAACATTTGCAAATGCAATATTATTTTTAGTAGTTTCTTCAGAATAAAGATGCTCAAGAACAGCAAGTCACCAAGTAAAACCTGGATTATTAGGATCTTTTGGATTTTATAGATCTTCAAAACATAATCGAATTGTATCTTTACATTTTTATGCATTTACTTGATCAGCTGATAGACATGCTTGCTCAATTGGTGGAAATC